ATATTGTCCATATTGAGATCATACAAGCTCTTTTCAAAATTCCAACTGGAGTGTATCAAATACTACACATACATAAATTATAATCTTCTAAATGAGACAGGCTATAATCGATAAATACTTGAAAAAATTTAAACAAGAGGATTTGACGTTCACTAACATCTACGCGCGAGTATTTAAAAAAAATAGAAATAGGAAGCAAGTCAGCGAGGGCGGTTCCATGGGTGACTCTACTAGAGCTGACTATTTACTGACTACTGAGTACATTTTTACTGACTAGAGTGACTACTGGAGTACTGACAGAAACTGGAAACAGAGAGGTGGTATTTTAGTAGGGTACATACATACTTAAAACCCCAGAGTTGGAGTACCATAGTTTTATAAAAGAAAGAAAACCACGTTTTTTCTGCAATATTGGACCCTCCTGATATCATAGACTTGGTTTAATATTTTGTTTTGTTATTTACAAATAGAATAGCTCTGAAGAATACAAAAAGGTCATTTGTTCGGTTCTGGATATGGTTGTCATTTGAGCCAATGAATATATGAGAAAGTAAGTTGTCCACGTGCCGGAAAAAGAATTGTTTTGTTTGGACTAATAGGGTAACTAGGGAGTTTTATCGTGCTGACCGGTAAAAAAATAGATTAAAAAAAATTGTATTTATCGAAGTCGTCAATATCGTGACTCGGCCTGCGGCCAGGCCCAGCTGACTCTCAGACTCTGCCCCTGTAAGGCTAAGCTGTTAAAAAAAAGAAAGGCCTCCATGAGGCTCCAGACCCCAGCCCTGCACTGGTAAAAATTCGATGCCAATTTCCTGCACCAGGACCAAAATATGATATATCAGCCAAATTTGGTAGATATATCTCAAATCGATTTTTGCAAATCTTCTGTTTTGTCTGGAAATGTGAAAAGATTTGCAAAAAGATTCTAAAATATTTTGCTGCTGAATGTTCATTGGTGAATTTCATAAAAAATCACTATTTCTTGTTGTGTGTGGATTCTGTGGAAGTTTCGAGTCTCAGATAGCTCACAGCTGAGGGGAGTTGTGAGTCGTGACTAGTGAGATGTCCACTTTTCCACTCTGGGAGTGAGGAGTCCAAACTCCAAACTCCAAAGTCTAAAACTCCAAACTCAAAATTGAAAAAAAAACAAAAGTGGCATCCACTCCAATCAATATCGACAACTAAAAATAAAAATCGGATTTTTTTTCTCAATATTTTTTTTTACAGAGAGGGAGTGGGTGTGTGTCAGACTCTCAGTGTAGAATTGTAGGACTTAAAAGTGTTAAATAAATAGGGACTCCAGGGACAGGGAGTCTGAAGGCAGAGCAGAGTGGCAGACACAATCTGATCCTGAGGACAATAGGACAAAAGGCCGCTGTGAGCTCCTATTCTATGATGGCCCTTGCCCAGTTTGTTTTGTTGTTGTCACAGACACGCAGTGTCAAAGCAGCTAAAAATAAGATAGTTGACATCATTTCATATTTTAAAATATGCTTTGGACGGCAAAGGACGCATCGAGTGTGATACCGTGGACTCTCTCTCTTGGAGGCGGTGGAGAGTGGGCCAGTGGGGACTGGGTGTGGGAGTGACCCTCTGGCCTCTTCTGGAGGCTCTGCTGAAGCAAACCGCCAAAGACTCATTGACTCTTAGTCTCTTTCAGAAGTGACAGCCTGATGACAGGCCGACAGCTCTCGTCTTGCAGTTTTGTGTTAATATCGAATTCCCATTCAATATAAGATCGATCCATCCAAAACGAGTACGCACTTCACCTGACTGTATTATAGAGATAGTATCCGTCACGATGGCTAAGAAAGGGGAGAAGAAATCGTTTCTCATGCACGTGGTTGCAGGCGGCGGCGCCGGGGCCACAGAGTCACTTATTTGCCATCCGCTCGACACCATTAAGACGCGCATGCAGCTGTCACAGTCGGTGGGTCGACCGCTCAGTCCATTCGCAACGGCGTCTCGTATCGTTGCACGCGAGGGTGTTAGATCGTTATACAAAGGTCTCGTACCGGTAGTATGTGGTATTATTCCAAAGATGTCCATTCGTTTCTCCTCGTTTGAATTTTACAAGGAAATCCAGGCTGATGCGGCTGGTAACGTATCCACAAGCGCAACATTCGTGGCTGGACTAGCTGCTGGTGTAACAGAAGCTGTAATGGTAGTCACTCCCGTAGAAGTGGTGAAGATTAGGTTGCAGGCTCAGACAAGCTCTATGTCCGATCCCTCAGACTGGAGCAGGCGGAAGTACAAGGGCATGTGGCACGCTGCGTACTGCATTGTAAAGGAAGAGGGCCCTAGTGCGTTGTACAAGGGAGTTATACCTACAGTATTGCGCCAAGCGTCCAACCAGGCAGCCAATTTCACTGCATATCAGGAGATCAAGAAGCGTATGATCTCATACCAAGGTGTCGAAGAATTGCAGGTAAATATATTTCGATTTCCAATTATTTGTTTATTGATGAGATAATTTCGAGCTAATGCACACTCCAAACACGCAATTCCAGGCAATGTCTTTGTATGCGGTATTATACCACAGTCTTGGGTAGTTCAATTGATCTACAATCCAATTATAGGCATACAGTTTGCTACTGGATAGTAAACTCTCAATTGATGGCGGAATACAATCCTATTTTCATAAAAAAATGGACACTCCAAAAACACATTCAGGTGATGCGTGTGTTTGTAAGAAACGACAAAGAGTATAATTTCACAACAGCGAATACATATATGTATTACTATGTACGATATCCTACCCCTACCTAATCTCTTTGGAGGGGTCATTGGGCGGTATTCATTTTTTTCTCACGAAAATCCGCTATTATACTATACTATCACAGCCTTGGCAACATCTTATGATTGGTGGGTTCAGTGGTGCTATGGGACCGCTATGCAACTCTCCTCTTGATGTTATTAAGACTCGTCTGCAAAAGCAGACGATTGTCAAAGGACAAAAGCCCAAATACGACGGTGTAACCGGAGCCATCTCAACCATGTTCAGGGAAGAGGGTATCCGCGCATTCTACAAGGGACTTTCTCCTCGTCTGATGCGTATTGTTCCCGGACAGGCAATCACATTCATGACATACGAAGCCATCTCGAAGCAATTATACGAAGTATGTGTCCTTTGCCACACGTATTAAGCTTAGAAGTTGCTATGTGTATGCATTCTTGAAAGTCCGTATATGCAACACAATTATAAGTGACGAAGAGTACTTTCATATCAACATTGCGGTTATATTGCGTTGTTTTAGACGTCGCAGTTAATACACGAATACCTTGATACGTCACGTTACAGCTTTAAATTTTCTTTAATCCTGTGTGCGATGCATATACTGAACAATTTAGTATAACAATACAGTCCCGTGTGTATATCAAGCGATGTTTTGTCCGGCCACTGTACCATAACTTCGCAAAAGAATGTGATCGTAAGATTTTTAGAATGTCCTGGTAAGGGTAGCAGTTTTCGTTGCGTATGCTAATGCTGATGACATCGTAAATCTGTACCCAAATGCGTATTCTTCCGCACAATGGCGATTCTAAGACTAACCAACCCCTCAGTTTAGGCGCCTATGCGTTGCACCTTTTTAATAGAACACGTCTAGCTCATATTTCATATTGAAAAGTCTGCCCTGTAATATCTAGTCTCTTGCACATATACCATTAGTACTATCAGAAAACTAAAACTTCTTAATCAATTACATTTGCTTGACAGTACCCCGCATTCCGAGTGGGAGTGGATGTTGCTGCTGGTGAGCTTAAATAAATGGAAACTTCCTGAGAAGTCTCGGCAATTGCCTGACACGCTGGATACACGCCGAGCTGGATACACGCCAATTAATATTGGTGACAACTATCCAGTATTTATTAGTGTCATTACAGCCATTAAATTTAGATACGTGTTGAACACGTGCGTGTACAAAATTATAACGAAAAATTGCTTCTCCCATGCTTTATAAAGTCTAAAGTGAGGAGGCAATTTGCGTTGGCAGCTTTTCGTGCATTTTCCGAATTGCAGGCTGAGTTCTGTTGGGTTGGTATTTTATACGAGAACGACAATCTCACCCACACATTGAATACGCGAAAACATTCTGCATATAATATTTATCCGTGAAATATATATCATCGACCATGCGAGTGGAATATAATTTTACACCGGTTGGATATATAGCTCGTCTCAATCATCGCCGGCTTCCGAAACCGGCCATATTTTGAGCCTGATGTGACGAAGGTTAAACAATAAGTAAGTCTGCGTACAGAAAGGATTCGCAATACACTCGCGATAAAATATCAAAGAAAACAGCACTACCATGCAAAACCGGTACTCTCTCACACAGGGATCGAACTCGCTTACAGTTTGTACAGCGGCGCTGAGCGTTGCTGCCGATAGGCCTAAGGTATCTTCAATCTGTAGTTCAGAATAAGTTATACGTATCAGAGCCTTAACTATGTGGTTCATACGTCACATGTTTTATAAAGACAGTTTAAATCAGTAGGACTTATTTTAAGTAAGCGATAGCGCAGATAGGTATATGTATCCGAACTCACTCGACACAGCGTGCATAGAAAACCCGAATACCTGTTGTGTAGTGTTCTGAACTTTCGACAAATCATCCAGGCGCTGATCGAGAAATTGATAAGTCGCTTCAAAGTGAGGAGATCTGTCCTGGGTCATGAACATCTCGGTTGCGGTGTACACAGTGGAGAGCGCCGTTCGCCCCGTGTACCAGTCAAACTGCATAGTTGTAAAATAGATTAGCCCGATAAAAACGTTCGAATTAATGGAGTTTAATATCCATGGGTAACGTAGAGTATAACTGGTGCCAGGACGAGACAACGTAAAAACAAATAAATACAGATGACCGCAAACATAAAAATACATACCAAGATTCACTTGTGCGCCCCTACCATGATAAAAGCTGGGATAAGGGTTGACTACTGGCATAGATTAAACAAAATAAAGTGCATATGTCTGCACAAATATGTATTGAGGGTACATACATTGGTCGCGTCATTCCCAGCGTAGTAGGAAATTTCATTGATGTCAGTGTGTAGGGCTCCCAGCAGGCTTTGAATGTAATGAGGGGACATTTTCATTGCAACGAGTGCCTGCAAAGGAGAACAGGCCAAGAATGAGTACTGTAATATTCACATATATTATATATCCAATTAAAAGCAGCACCAATACGCATAGAATCAATAGGAGCACAAGCCACAGAAAGGCCATCATACACACCTCTGGCCACTTGTGCGCATAGGGTTCTGTCATGGCCAATCGCAACCGCATGGCGTACTTCAGACGCTCCATCTTTTCAACGTCACTTGAGCGGTCGAAAAATAATAAAACGTGAGGATGAGAGGAAAGTTTTGATCAAAGTGAACATACAAAGATCAATCTGGAAAATGAAGAAAAACGTCTTGCAACCAGCGCAATTGGTAGCGGTTTTGTATTTCAGAATGCCTTTATTCGGTAAAACCCCAACATTGTAATCTCGCAGATATATTTGTATACCGAGTATATATATAGTATACACATAATACATACATATATAAATATACAACACACACAAACACACACATATACATACATACACACACAAACATATATATATTATATATATATATGTATAAATATATATACATACATAAAATATACACACACACACACATATATGTATATGTATATACATATATATATATATATATATATACATACATAGATATATTATATTATATATACATAGATATATATAAATGTATATATATATATACTTACATATATATATATAAATATATATATATATGTATCAATTGGTAGCGGCTTTGTATTTCAGAATGCCTCTATTCGGTACAATACCAACATTGTAATCTCGCAGATATATTTCTATATTCGAGTATATATATATATATATATATATATACACATACACATATTATATGTATATG